ATACATCTACCTATATCTATATATGTGTATAGATATACATGTATATATGTGTGTATACATATCTATATCTATCTATCTCTCTTTCTTTCTTTCTATCATTAGTCAAGAAATTTATCATAAGGAATTGGCTTATGTGATTATGGATGCTGACAAGTCCCATGATCTATAAGGTGAGTCTACAAGCTGGAGACTCAAGGGAGCTGATGATGTAGTTCTAGTCTGAGTCCAGAGGCCTGAGGACTGGGAGACCCAATGGTGTAGATCTAGTTTAAAGGCCAGCAAGCTTGGGACTCAGGAAAAGTTATTGTTTCAATTCAAGTCTAAAGGCAGGAAAAAGCCCATGTTCTAGTTAGGAAAGTAGTCGGGCTGGAGGAATTCTTGCTTAGCGAAGGGAAGGTCAGCCTTTTGTTCTATTCAGGCCTTCAACTGATTGGATGAGGCCCACCCACGAAGGACAATCTGCTTTACTCAGTCTACCAATTTAAATGTTAACCTCATCCAGAAACACTCATGCAGAAATGCCCAGAATAATATTTGAAAAAATATCTGGGCATCCCATGGCCCAGTCAAGTTGACACACAAAATTAACCATCATGAAGCTTTACCATTAATACACAGCTAAACCAACCGTGATTCACCAGGATGCCAAATAGCATGAGAAGTATAAATTCACTTACCAGAGAGGCTATCTATATCAGAGCAAAACTGATGAAGAAGACAATGCCAAAAAAAGAAAGGGAAAACAGGAGACAGTTGCAGACTGTGAATTAAGAGGCAACTTCAGACCTAATAATAAAGCAAGTTGTAGGAGGAAGAAATTTTTAGAAAGTCACAAGATCAGAGGCTGAAGCTATTGTAGTGGAAGGTGAGGAACAGATGGTGATGTTGAATGGAAAGGGCAACGTCCAAAATACACAAATTAGTAGAGACGTAAGCAGCCACTGGGTCTTGAGATTTCTTAAAGGACTACGCATGGGTATTAAGGTGGAACGGAGAGACGACTGAGGCCCAGGTTTTCCCTTTCCACTGTCCTTCATCCTGAAGAATAAGCCTGCGTCATGCTCCACAGTGATGGAAGTGTGGAAGTGACTAGTCAGAGGGGTTTGATCAGAGGATTAAGTGGTAGATTCAGGCAGATTCTGCTCTGCCAGCAGTCAATTCACATGGCCAGCCACAGTGCCAGACAGCAAGTGCCACACAACACATTTCTATGCACCTTCACTCTTTTCCTTGATCATCCTGCTCACAAACACACTCAGACCTTCTCATTTACACAAAACTCCATGTCCTTTGCCTGCTCCTGTGATGTCTCTTGAACTCTCCTTCCTCCCAGCACCAAAACTCTTGAAGGCCTTGTATATGTTGCCCCTGCTTCATCTTACCAATCTGCTAAACCCTAACCTTTAGTTTCTAGAGCCTCCATTCAAACAATACCACTCTTACCAAGGACTTCCTAATTGCTGGACCCAGAAACTCTGGCTCAGCCTTCAATTTTTTTTAATGGTGTTGCAGCAGCTCACAGTGATCTTGAAATTCCCTTCCTTGACCCGGCAGTATCCTGCTGCTTGGTCTTGCCCACTTTCTCTTGTTCCTGTCTCTTCCTCTTCCTGATTGATCAATACAGACATTTTTAAAACATTCTGCTCTCATTCCTCAGCCTTTTCACCTTTCGATTCTCCCTTGGTCAAAAAAGCCACTCATTCCCAGGGCTTCCTGCTGTTTCCTCAAATGCAGTAAAAAGCTTCCAACTCTCTCTGTTCTGCCCTGACTCTCTTCAGCCTATCTTACATTTTTAATTGTCTTCTGGCCATTTCCTGTCAACTACACACCAGAACCCCAGATTCGCTGGGTGATTACATCTAAAAGGTAACTTTCCTGCTTTATTAACATTATCGACATTACTCACATCAGCCAGATTCTAAACTCCAAGATCATCTCTACCCCCACGTATAAGCAGTCACTTTGATTTATGCTATTCTCCCCTAGAAAGTCTCTCGTATTAGCTTTCCTCCCCATTTTAACTTTCATCACCACCTTAGCTCAGCTCTTTATCTCACTCCTAAAATACTGCAGTTGCTTTTAGCTGATCTTGCTGCTTTTAACTATCCTTTCCAGTGCACCATGAACCATATTGGAAGAGAATTCTCCATGAACATCTCCCATTCCTGCACTGTCTGGGGTTTCTGAGCATAGGCATTTATACCAACTTAAGAATATTTATATGAGGAGACAGTCCAGGGTAGTAAAGCTTAGAGACTGCTCCCTCCTAAGATGTTCCACAGTAATAAAAGTAAAGACCTTGCCTCCTCTTTCCCAGAGAAGAACTGTTTACATTCCTGAGTAAAGATAAGGTCCAGAGAGAAGTACAAGCAGGTCACCAGCAGCCATTTAAGAGGGGAGCCTAATTTGAGGGTTCATCTCCTCTAATGTACCCACTGCATATGCAGGTATCATCTGGTCCTCACTGCATTGCCCTGTGGGACTCAAGGAATCGACCAGGCTGACTTGTTAAGTTGTAAACAATCTCAGACCCTCCACAGTTCTTGATTTAACACACTACCACCAAATACTCTTTCGAAAGATCTGTTTTGGCCATGCTACTTGCCAATGGCATCCTACTACAAAATAAAATTCCAAGTCTTTTCAGCTCCCTTACCAGCCCGTCCCCCAACTTATTCCCTAGGTACACCCTGTGCTCTAAGCAACCTGGACTTCAAGACGTTTCCTAAACAGAGGAATACACATCTGCTTTCATGCTCTGAACATGCCTAGAATGCTATACTTAGATCACAGATGAGGAAAAACTCATGAAGCATCAGTGCACAAAACACTCATAACAACCTCTTAGGAATGGTGAGCCACACCACTGATGTCTTTACCCGTGTTGTCACAGCTCCTACCAGGTGCACTAGTGAGAAATTGGCCTGCCCTCACTCTCAGCCTAACCAACTGACCCGAAGCCCAGTGCTGCAGCTGCAGGTAACCACATTCTGGTTGGACACCAGGGAGCTGAACTACTTCTGAGAATGCTTGGCTTGGAATTCTGTCCAACAGGGAAGCTCTGCATTTGATGGCGGCCAATAATTCTAACATCACCTCTCATGTGAGAAGTGAAGTTCACAGGGGTGAAGAGAGGCAGCCCAGGTTCCAGTGTGAACAAGTGAGTTGTGGTTTCAGTCCTCCACCAGGATTTATATCCTAGTCTTAGCTCAGGCCACACATTTCTGGGTCTTCTTGCAATAAACTCCCAAGCAAAAGATAACACGGGCCTGCATTTTTCTTGCAGGCCTCAACTGCTTAATTCAAGTGCCCGTCTCACCGATCTCTAGGATATGTGTACAAAGATGCTGGTTGAAGCACTGTGTGTAAATAGCAATTTACACACATGCCCATTAATATGGGCTGGTTAAATTATCGTTTTTCATCATCAATTGTAAGATATACCCTAATTTCAGAGACACAAAATATCAATAAAATGGTCCATAGTGGTTATATCATTGATTGTTTTAATACGTGAAAAAAATGTGCATTTTAGAATTAAAGAACTAAGGCATGGCACATCATAAAGTGGAACATTTTGTAGCTGGGGCAGGTAAGTGGCACAAGATAGGGCTGGGTAGGTGACATTTCCTTTGGAATGGGGTGGAGGGGGGAGGTGAAGAGTCGGGCAATGATTCCACACATCTGGCTATACCTCTCAGGGTGGCACAAATGGAGATGTGTGTGGTGTTACCTGTTAACAGTTTGTGCTTGAAAAGTAGACTTAATTTTAAAGTAAGTGGTGGACATATGGGTACGTGTTTTAGTATTTTTTTTGTATGCCTAAAATATGTTATAAAACATTCTTCTTTAAGTGGGCCTAGCAACCTTTTTTTACTGCGCCTGTTTTTAGGGAGACTTGTGTCCGACAGCTTAGAAATCAATTCTATATGTAAAGGAGGTGAGGGAAATACCGTCTCTTATCCACATGTTGACTATTAGGAAAAAAGGAATTTCATCATTCCAGCAACATCTAGTATGTGCACATATTCAGCTGACAAACATAGAGACCTAGATGATCATTGAAAACTTTGCTTTCTTTTTTCTTTCTCAATACTGAAGAATTTGTCTTCACATTAACCATAGGTTTGCCTAGATTTAAGCAAGGTCAAATTTGCAAAGAAGATATTTTGGCATAGTTAAAAATAACTTTAAGAATGTGTGTGCATGGGGGAGGAGGTATTTCAATAGAATTTCCTTAAATACAACCCTCCAGGCCCGCCATTTATAAAGTGAGTTGAATTTTTAGGGACACATTTCCTAAAGCCTGGCGTGGTAACGACAGTGCAAGCTTTGAAGGCAGACTAAACTAAGTCAGAATCTGATGGCTGTGTGGCATCGTAAAGTCACCTAACTTTGCAGGGTCTGTTTCCTTCTCTGTAAAATGGTGACAATAATAATTAACTTACGGGATGTTATAAAGATGGGAAATTTAAACACAGAACTATGCCTGGCACACACCCATCCCCCAGTCAGTGGCGATTACTATTACGGCACGCGGGTTTTGTTTTGGTACGGGCCCTCGGACTTGGCGCAGCGCGCCCCATCACCTTTCCCTGCTCTCTCTCACTCAAAAGCTCTTTCTCAATTATTTTCAGTTCAACATTTATGTGCAGGTTACAAAGTCATGTAAATCAAGACCCTGAGTAGCTTACACTCTAACATAACACAGGACAGAAATCACTGATTCAAAACTCAGGGTTTTTTTTTTCCTTGTTGTTTTGCTTTGTTTTTAATTTGGTAAAGGTATCGGCTAAGGAATGTGCGCTCTCTTTTTACAGACTTGGGAACTCGGAGAGGTGCAGTATCCCGCCAAAGGCCACGAGCACCGCGGCCTCGGGGTACTTCCTGGGTCTCCGCAGACCTCCCACCCCATGGCACTCGCTGGGACGTAGGAGGGTAGGGTCCCGGGAGAGGCGCCGTCCGCCCGCGTTTTCGGGGCCCGCGGCGCCAGCACTTACCAGTGCGAAGTGCACCAGGGCGTCGTAGCAGAGCCAGGCGAGCGCCCCGCGGTCCGCCGCCCCCCGCCCGCGGCCCAGGCTCAGGCCCATCGCGCAGCCCACGACCAGCAGCGCGGCGCACAGCAGCAGCGAGCCACGCGCCGCGGCCCCCAGCTCCAGCCACGCGCCCATGCTTCCGGCTCCCCACTCCCGCGACTGGCACAGCGAGCCACACGGGAGAGCAGCGGGGCGGGGCTTCCAGGCAGGGGCGGGGCTTCCAGGCAGGGGCGGGGCCGGGCAGAATCTACCCTTCCCGCTGCGCGTCCAGGTCCCCCAGCCGAGCTGGAGGGTCTTCTGATGAGTCAGGTTCCTGCTCGCGATCTCGCTTAACTGCCTGGATCAAACCTGTTCCTAGATAAACCGAAAGGACTCGTAATAGGGCCACACCTTTTGATGCAGTTTGATTTTTAACAAGGTTTAAAACCTTAATCCGTAAAGTGAAGTCCAAATGGTAGAAATTTTGCCCGTAGACTGAGGAGAATTTTAGGAACCAAAGGTTCTAATTAGGCCCGTGCAAGTGTTGCAGAAGAAACGAGGGCGTTTTCAGTCACCAGCAGACTTTTTGTGGCTTACTCTGACCCTATTTCTTATAAATCCAGGAAAGCAGCAAAAGTACAGGGCGAGAAGCAATAAGTCAAATCTGCTTGGCAGTAGATGCTTTTATCTGCCGTATCTTATCTAATGTCACAACAACTCTAGGAGGTCAGTATGTATTTTCCTTTTAAAAATGTGAAAACAGGCTCAGACAGGCGGAGGACAGAATCCATGAGTGGGTGTTCCCAAGGCTTTTGCCTTTGACCTTGCACTCTGATGTTTTAACAGGCAACTATAGCTCTCCCTTAATGAAATGCCACTTTATCCCAATCATGTTAACCTTTCTCTTTACTTTTGCTAGCAACTTATTTGCTTTTAACGCTCTCCATTTTCTCTTCCTTAGGCCTCTGTTACTTAAAAGACAGCACTGGAGAAAAAAGTCAAAGTTAAAGAAGACTGTTACCTTTATCGACCAAGCCTGTGTTCTCAATTTGGGGTAGCCAGATAAATATAGGATGCCCAGATCAATTTGAATTTCAGATTAAAAAACAAATAAATTTTAAAACATTTACTTATTCTAAAGTATCACCAGGGTACTTAGGCTAAAAAAAAATCATTCGTTGTTTTAAAATGTGGTATATACAATGGAATATTATTTAGCCATGAAAAGGAATAAAATTCTGACACATGCTATAACATGGAAGTACCTTGAGGACATTATGCTAGTGAATAAGCCAGTCGCAAAAAAAGACAAATACCATATGATTTCACTTATATTAGGTATCTAAAGTAGTGATATTCCTAAAGACAGAAAATAGAATGGTGGTTGCCAGTGGCCTGAGGGAAGAAGAAAAGGGGAGTTGCTTAGTAGCTGTACAGTTTCGATTTTGCAAGATGAAAAAGTTCTGGAGTGTTGCTGCAATGTGAATATACTTAACATACTGCACCGTACGTACGCTTAAAATGGTTAAGATGGTAACTTTTATGTTATGTATATTTTACCACAATTTAAAAAAATGATTCCTGGCACTGAACACAAGTTTAATAACTTTCTCCTTTAGTTACTCCCTGTATTATTTTTTATATAGCAGCTAACACCAGATGAAATTATTTATTTATATATTTATTGCTATTGTCTTGCCACTAGAATATAAGCTCCACAAGGCCAGGGGTTGTGTCTGGCTTGTTTTTTGCTGTGTCCCTTGCTCCTGTCAGAGTTTGGTATATACTAGTTGCTCAGTTAAATAATGGCCGACTGAAGGAATGAATATGGCCAGTCCTGCTACCTACACTTTGGATTCTCTTCTGTTACTTAGAAAACTGATGATCTACAACTCTACTCTTGTATATTCAACATCTTTCTCAACTGGATATCCCCCACCAACTTCCCCACATCACCCTTTAGTGACTACTCTGCCCTCTTCTCCTTCAGAGCAAAACGAAACCTAAGAAATGAATTAGATTCACTGTCTTCTTATTCTGCCCCTGCTCCTCCATCCTTCCCACTTTAGTTTTCACCCTCTTTACTGCAGTGATACAGCTCTTAGGTGACCAGTGACCTCCACATCACTAACCAGAAGGACATTTTCTGTCCTTATCTTACTTGACCCCTCAACAACCTCACTGGGCACTGAAATCTTTTTCCTCGGTTTTCTGAGAAAACACAGGGCTTTTTTCCTACCTCCCTTAGCAATACCTGTTTCCTTTGCCACCTCATCCTCCACTACGTGCCCTGTGAAATGCTGGGAACTCCACAGCTCAGTCCTAAACCCTGTTCTCCCTCCAAATGCCGGACCCAGGCAGCCTCAGCCTCATCCCGTGTTAATAAACCACCAAAAATAGTCCAAGAGATTCAAATGTCTAGCTCGGCCCTCTCCTTTGAGCTCCAGACCGGTATTTCCAACTGCCCTACTTGACAGTCATTTGGATATTTCAACACAGCCAAACTACACTCATCACCCTCTACTTCCTATGTCTGAGTCTCTTCCAGTGTTCTCTATCTTATGTTACTTCCATTTATGTTACTGTAATCCAGCAACATAGAAATCATCCTTGATACTTGCCTCTCCCCAAACTCCAGATCTAAGACGTTACCTATTTTAGTTGCCAAATATCTCTTGATCCCATCTACTTCATGGACCAAGCTGTTCCATCACCATCTCGTCCCTCAGTGCTTAATCTCACTAATGTGGTTTCTACACATCACTAAACCCAAAGTACATTTCCTGCCCTTACCAGCCCGTGATTGTTCCTGAACACAATTCTTCTATCATCACTCTTGTTTAATGATAATGATTTACCATTACTCTTAGAATACTAAAGTCTTTTATGTGACTTACCAGGCTATGGGGTCTGGCCCCTATCTCTTTAACCCCTCCCCTGCCCCCTAGTAATCCTCTTCATTATGTTTGCTCTAGTTATACTTGCTCTTTTACTTCCTTGAACTCCCCGTGGTGCTTCTTACATGGCCTTTGTACATACTTTCCTCTGCCAGAAAGAATTTCCAGTGAATCTGTCCAATTGAGTCCTGCTTTTTCCTCATCACCATCACCTGCGCAATTCTGGGAACACTAATTTCTCCCTGCCTGATAACAGACACTTCGGAGTTACTGAGAGGGCTGAGTTGGTGCTGCTCAAGTGCTCACACAGGTGTCTGGCACTTAGTCAAGCTCATTGCCCGCGATTATTACCTTCCTAACTAGGCCAATCACCTCCATTTTACATCATTGTATACCTCTTTTTTCCTAATGTGTCATAACTTTTACTTTTATTCCTGCATGTGTGTGTGTGGGGTGTGTGTGTGTGTGTGTGTAAAGCAACTTGCACCCTATCGCAGTACCTGGCATGGGATATACTGCTCCAGAAATACTTGAATGTTTCTAAAGGCTTAGTCAAAAATCTTATTTATAAAATACTGAAGACATGGAAAGAATACAATCACTAAAACAATCTGATGTTATTGTGAAGAAAACTGGGCTGAAATCAATATGACATTTATAAATTCTATATTTGGGTCTGAGGGTCTAAATGCCCAACTACTGGTTCAAAGAGAACTGATGACAAAGGGTGCTGAGGCTGTAAATTGACCACAAATCTAATTATGATGAACGTAAAATAAATGAAACAATCTCCTCCACATTAGTAGGATTAAGTTCCAGATAATGGAATGTTCCTATTCTACTGTACCCAGAAACTTAGTCACATCACACACTATTCTTAGAATCCTTGGAGTGCATGAAGCTGACGGTCCATAAAAGACTTTCTAATTAAGATGGTCAACATGCATGGGTTTAACGCTGAGGAAGGGAGCTGATAAAAAGGATCCATCTCTTCTGCTATCTGGGAAAAACAAAACATCTATTCTGATTCTAGGTTAATTTATAATGATGGTCATTTAAGAGCAGCGGCTTTTGTTCAGTATTAAGAAAAGACTTGGCAACAACTAAAGCTGTTCAACAAAGTAGGACAGTCTCCCCTGGAGTGAGCGCCTCATCATTTGACTAGTACTCCTGCAGGAATATTTTCATAAAATGGCCTGCCTCAAAAATCTGATCTTATCTTTAAAATGTTATGCGAAATGTGTCCTTTACGCTCTGACACTTAGGCTTGTATTACCATAAAACTGTTTTACTTACCATCAAGTGAAACCGCTATCCCAGTCTCACGGATTCACACATTGCTTGGCACAAAGGCCCCATTTACCTCTGAGTACCACAATTTAAAAAAATTACTTAAGAAAGTGGAGGGCAGTTTGTTAGGGCAGGGAAGAGGGCCGTTTGTAGAAGAAATTCCCTGCGGGGAACACAACCTTTATGGTATGGTATAGCTACAGTATGCCATAGTTTCCCTGCTTTTAATCATTTTTAATAAACTAAGTTTTCTGATGGGGCCAATCTCTCAGGATGCTTCAAAGAAGTGTTTTTCAAAGTATGCTGTGAATTTTCTGGTTCAACTCCAGCTTACCCAGAGAACTTAAAAATCTCCAACTTAAAATGTTTGAAAAACACTGCTCCAGGGCAGTGTTGAAGGTTGTGGGCAATCAATACACTTGATAGCCTTACACACCTTGTCAGTAGCCACAGGATAAATTTAAGAGGGTAACTAGTTACTCCATATTCCCATTTTATCCTAAGTCCTTTGCAATAGATGGGGCTCAGTACTCCTGGGAGGTCCCCAGACGGGTGATTTGGGAAATGTGGTTAGGTCTGGCTCTGATTTCTCCTAAAACTCAAAATGAAGAAAAGGCACATTTTTGCTTCCATCTTCTGAATCTGAGGAAAGCCTGGAACTGTTCGCACGTCAAGAAGGCTTGATTTAGCCAGCGGTCCCCAGCCTTTTTGGCACCAGGGACTGGTGTTCCTCTGAGAATCTAATACCCAATGATCTGAGGTGGAGCTGAGGTGGTGATGCCAGTGCTGGGAAGTAGCTGCAAATACAGATGAAGCTTCACTCCCTCGCCCGCCACTCACCTCCTGCTGTGCAGCCTGGTTCCTAACAGGCCACGGACAGCTGCTGGTCTGCGGCTCAGGGTTGGGGACCCCTGACTTAGGCTGTCTCATTTGAGTGGAGAAGTTTTCTACAGGAATTGGTGTAGGCCAACAGTTCACACTGGGAGCAATTTTGGCTCCCAGAAGACACTTGGCAACGTCT